CATCTGGGATGCTGCTTTTGACAGTTCTAAGTAGAACTGTTTTAGGCCTTTTTCCGCTTTGTATTTGACGTTGCAGTATTTCTTTGTCGCGTTCAACGTGGCGGAGGCTTTGATGAAGGTTCTCATCAATATGTTGAGAACTTCGAGGAACATGCCCTCGTCTCCTCTGAGGAGAGTTTCGTCTCGGAGTCTAATTCCAAGGTCAAACGCAGGCCCCCCTAATCCACGAATCAAGCAGTCCAGGTGGACTTCGTCAAATTGGGGACCTTTGCATCCTCGCGAGGCGAGGAATCCCAGTAGTTCTGTGAACCACTGCCAGAACGATTCCATGTCATTCTCCCCTGACCATTTCTTGTCAGGGAATGCCGGCCCATTCTTTAGGGCTTCTGGTTTCACTCCTTCTGGGTAGGGAGTGAGTATTCTCACTTCGGCCATTCTTATGGCCTTTTCATACCATTTCTCCAGGTACTCTTCTTGCTCCCCTGCCTTCACGGGGTCGCTATCCAATGGAGATCTCTCCTTTGGGGGGGTTTTTGCTGGGGGAAATCTTCCTCGCAGTGTTTCTTTGGTTTCAGGCGAATTCGCCTGAAGTTGTATTTGTATTCTCTCATTGTTTTGAGAGGGTGTGAATGAGTTTCCTCTCTGTTCAAGAGGTCCGTCATAAGTGGACGTTTGGCCGAACCTTTGGTACGTGCCAATTCTCCTCCTAATCTCTGAACGATGCCTTCTTTCGGCATCGTCTTCTCCTATCCTTGGGAGAAGGATCTCCTTAGCGTCTCTGTTGAGTTGCTGATGATATTCCAGTGTGCTTTCACTGGTGGTTCTTTTCGTGAATTTTCCACGAGTTCTATTTATGTCCTGGACCGTGGTCCAGGGGTGTTTATTTGTTTCCTCACTTTTTTGTGAGAAATTTATTTCCTTCAGTAAATCTGTTTGTTCGCTGATTTTTTCAGTCAGTGCGTCGATTGCGTTGGCCATTCTTTCTAGAGTTATCTCTAGACGAGCCGTGCTATTATGGTTCGTTTCCTCGATCTTTTTTTGGATTGAGTTTATCGCGTTTATTATGTGCGATTCCTGGTTTTCCAGGAGGAAGTTTGGTTGGGTGAGCAGAGACTCTCCCCAGTTGACATTTCCGCTTCTGGGGGTTCCAGAATGGGTTCTTGGAGTGAACACTCCACGCTCGCTTTGTTTAGGCGAGGCCGTTGTGGAGGGTGCTTCCCTTTCATAGAGGGGTTTGTTCGCTGGTTTTTCCTTACTTTTACATAAGGCTTCCTCAGCGAACTCCCTCATTTCAGTTCGCCTCCTCTTCATTATCTCGGAGACCTCCTCCGAGGTTGGCGACCTTGCCTTGTCTGGCATGGTGTGTGGGAGTGTAAACAGCGGAAGTTCTTTTGGAGCTTCCGCGCTCTGGGAGATCCTGCTCTCAGGGTGTATTTTCGCGCCTTCTCGGGCTTTCAGCCTGAGAAGAAGTTGATCTTCACTTTCCATCCTCCATTCAGATGGAACCTGGAACAAGTCCAGTAGTTTTTCGGATAGCCGACGCAGGGGCTCTTCCCTTTGTTTCCCTTTGTCTGCCTTTGGGGCTTGACTTGGGGACGTGAGGGGGGGCTCCAGGGGATAGTGGGGCCCTGGAGTTTCCTGCGACTCTATCCGATCAGCTTTTTGGGCTGATCGTTCGGCGCTTACACGTTTTTCGCGCAAGTCGATCACCTCGTGAGGAGGTGAGGGATCTTCCCCAGCTTGGGTTAGATCGGTATGTTGTGGAGTTCTGGGGGTATTTTGCCCTGCACTTACTCCACGTAAGTTTCTAAAACCTTCAGGGACCAGCCCTGAGGTGATTGCTAATGTTGGATCATGTTGATCCTCGTCGTCGTCTGATGACGGCTTTTGGTTTGAATCTCCCATGATGGGAGATTGCGGTTTCTTTATAAACCGCTCGTTTCTTTTTAGTGTTGCTGCAGATGCGACCTTGCCCTTGCGGGCGTGTTTAGGCGCCATAGGCGCTTCCAAGTCAGATGTTAAGATTGTAGAGTTGTGGGTTGTGTTGTAAAACACACCTCATGCACTTAAAAAAGTGTGAGGTCTTAGGGTGGCTCAGCACACAAGGCCGTAAGTGATACAAGATAGTGTATTTTACGGTGGTGTGTAAGCAGTTACCCGGAGGTTCCCGCTTGCCCACGTGACTATATGTATCTAATTTACATGTGACTCGGGGTTCGGGGCTATTGCCCTGACACCTGTGGTCTTCAACTGGAGGCACTCGATTTAGGAACCTCATGCCAATTGCCGGCCATCCAATACATGTGTTACTTGATTGCGCACAGAAATTACATCCTGGCACATATCTCAGGAAGCTGAAGCTTTGAGTTGTGGTGTGGGTATGGATATGCTACTAAACCTAAATCCACCCCATGGTTTGTGACGTCAGAGGTCGCCAGAGGTCATGTGCCCAAACAAAAAACAGACATAGAAAAATGAAAATTCATTTCAGTTCTAGCTAGAGGTATATACAGGAGCAAAATGTTTGAAGTACAAGTGTAATTGGCCGAGCTTGCGAGGTGTTTGTAATTATTCATCCCAACCCAAACCCCCCATGCGGCATTTTTAAATAGACACATACCCACAATACACAACCGCCAATCCCAATCCCAACCCTGACCCAACACCCAACACCCAACACCCAACCCTTGACCCGCACCCAACCCTTGACCCGAACCCGACACCCAACCCCCGAACCCAACACCCAAACACCCAATGCAAAAACAAAAAAAGACCACAGCAGGAGCGAATCGAACTAGAGCCCTACACACTCAACACAACACAACCAGACGGCACTATCCATTAAGCCAAAGCCTCACTGACACGGTAGCCTCGTTCAAGTATAAATATGAATAGTTACATACAAAATGGCATCCGGAATCAGACTGCAAACACATTTCATTGTTATTATGTAATTTTTTTTTGATTCTCACATGACCTCCGGCGACCTCCAACGTCACAAAGCATGGGGTGGATTTAGGACTAGAAAGGTTGCTTCGCAACCATGACCTTGCTTGTGGATCATGTGAACATTTCACAGGTTGCAACGGAGGTCGCAACATTTACTCATGTCAGTTCAAGAAAATTAGCAATACTAGCAAACGAACATATGGGTTGAATCGAAGATCAGGGATGGGATGCGGAACTATCAAGCGAACATCGTGAATTGAATATAAAAAGGCTCTTCTTGTGAACATATGTGACCCTTTTGAGTTGAATTGTGGATGAGTTTGTTCACGCAATGCCATAAGATGCTAGGTCTGGGGAAGAGTAGGCAAATACTGAGTGGTTCCCTTCGTTGGTGGGGTTGAGACAGACATACCTATTTCTCAAGCTTCCGTCGCTTCGTGGGAGAGAAGGATGGTCCAGAGAACAGCCGCTTAGATGGTGATCCAGAATCTGTACAATTACTGACAAGAGTGGCTGGTTTTTTGAGGATTATTATCTCTTCAACATGTGCGGAGAAAGTTGTTTTCTTCCCAGTGCAAGATCCTATCAAGTGGCACGCAAGTGTAAAGGGCATTTGTATGGTGGCCCCTGGAAGTGCAGTTGCATGCTCCGAAGGAGCAATAACTCCTTCAATTCCTTCACGATATGCGCGAAGAGGATTCATCTGCCATCTTTTCTCCTCAAACATCTTGTCTTGGAGGTCAATGTTTCTGGTGCCACTGGCCAGTGTTCCAAACCAAACTCGGGCCCCAAGAAGCCATGGACTGTTGGCACCATCATCAGCTTATGCACAGGATGTAGGTGATGATGAGGGAACAAACCCGGTTCACCTCTGCTGCTATCATCATATCCACCCAATTCCGGTAATGCTGCACATAAACTGAACGAATTATCACGATAGTTGGTGGGAAACTTCCTACTTTTGGCTTTGTTTTCTGGTGTGCTGGGCTCTGTTGGTGGTGTCATACACTCCATCTGTAGCGTGACTGACTCAAGGTTTGGTGGTTCACCCAAAGCGTTCGCCATTTCGCTGCAGGAAAGGCTCTCTGTTCTCGGTGTTGAGCTGTGCATTGTGCAGAGTGTGTGTTAGATGCTTACTACGTGAATCATCTAATGGTGTTAACAGCAAGGCGGTCCTTGAAGGCACAAGACTCCCTGATATCATTCATTTCGCCATTGGTGCAAAGGTTATGGTGACGTCAAACATAAACATGGATATGAATATTGCCAATGGTACTTGCGGCGAGGTTGTGGAAATAATCCCTGATCCGAGGGAGGCTACAACATCCAACTGGGGGCCTAGAGTATCGCTGGTTTACCCACCATCGTGCATTCTTATTAGAATATGGCAATCCAAGCCGGATGGGGGACATACCCGATGGGGTGGTGCCAATTTTCCCTAAGTACCAACTGAAGATTGGAGGAGGGAAAGCCAAAAGTGTGAAGTGGAAACAACTCCCTATAACTGGAGCATATGGTTCCACGGACTATCGCGCGCATGTAATAATCAACCTCACAACTCCTCCTACTGGAGCACTGACACCATTCAGTGCATACGTTGCATTATCGCATAGCTCAGGGAGAAAAACCATCCGCTTATTGAGAGATTTCGATGAAACCCTTTTCACACGGCCTGTGTGTGAGGCTCTAAAGTGGGCGGACTCACAGTTTGAAGAGTTGAACAAGAAGACAAAGGAACATTGGGAACATTGCTGGAACGATGGCACACACATGAGGACCATGTGATGGAGCACCATGTGACGTGTTTGCAAATAGTAATTGATTCAGAGGAACCATGTGATGTGTTCATAGGAATTTGCAATAGTTACATATTTCCCACGGCAATTATGACCTGGCAATGACCTTGCAAGCAAGGTAATTACTTGGATATGCTCCGCCAGCAGTGCTTTTCTCGGTTCACTCAATATCAATATTCCGCAATAGGATCAAGTTCGACGAGAGCTTCTTCCCTGCCTGCATACACGTGGCCGTTCCCCTAATATCTAGGTAGTTCCCACCCTTCTCCTCGGATTCTCACCTCTCTACTCCGTGGACTTGCTGGTCATTCTGATAAATATCAAGAAATTTTAACTGGATCGGATATCGCGCCAACGACATCGACGCCACGCAACTTGAAGTCTCAAATTACTAAGAATAGGTTGGTGCCTTCCTCTGCTGCGCTCCCAACGGTGATAGTCTTGTCACGACGTTGACAGCTCTGGCGCCCAGTTTCGTTTCCAAGTCATCTAACACCTTGGATCGCTTCGATCTAGAAACATGAACGCTCCTACACTGGTTCTTCTGCAGGACGAAGGCCCGACCCATATTGCGCCCACTGCAACAACGCCAAACCACCAGGACTCCGGAAATGCTGGATATCCCACCGATCCCGTCGATAGTGAGTCAGATATTTGCAGAGCTTTGGGTACTTCTTGTTCATGCCTTCGACCTCCTTATCAGAAGTGATTTCTATGTTATTACCGTCTCAGCGTAGCGCCGCCGAAGGATATTCCCATGACACGATCCCCTCCTTCGCTTCAAGCCCGACTTCGCCGAGCTTTGTGCCGGTAGCGACCGAGTCTCCTGCTTTCCCAGAACCAGCCTCGGTCGACGATTTTCTCTTCGAAGTAAGAATCAATATTATGGTGCCTTGAATCCTCACTCATCCGAGTTTTAAAGCTTGATCAGGGAATCGAGCCCTCACTCGAGCCTCCCCTGTCCGATGACACATCTTCTACAACAGCAATATCGCTTCGTGACCGATTTAGCGTCCCATTTTCCCGGTCGACACCCACTTTCTCCGATGCTTCATCCACAATTGCCCCATCTTTTACATCGTTCACATCGTCTTTAAGGAAGAAAGTTGCAAGCATTGCGTCTGCAGGCGCTTTCTTCAACGAATGCTTGGACTCGAAGCCATATCGAACCTTCTCTGTGCGAACGTTTTGCGAGAGCTTATTCAATAGTCGTCGTGCTGCTAATGCCAGGATCGTGTCCCTTCAACGATATGGGGACCTCCAAGGGGTCCCGCATCGATTTCTCATCATGCGTGTCACTCGAGCCGATGGGAGGGAGTTCTACCTTCGGCTGGATCGCAGACGGGACCACCAAGTTCCCTTGTTGTTGTTTGGGGTACGGGATTTGGGAACTTCACGCGCGATAGATACGGTATGTAACGAACTCCTTGATGTCTTTACCGCAGCTAAGAGGCGGCACTACTCGATAGGCTGCCGTTTCTGGCAGACTCGACCACCTTCTCGATTTCACCAACAGCAAGTCCAGCGTAGAGGCTGTTATGGTCTTCCCTACTCCTGCTCCTTTGATCCCGGCTGCCCACATTCTGTACGCTATCGCAGCGGAATCTCCTGATTACAAGCTAACTAAAGTAAGTGACAATGTCTGACCCTATGCTATCATCTGTTGATCCACTCACTGCGTGTAGGAAAATTGTTGGTTTTTCGCTTCCACCATTCAGGAAATGTTAATGCGGATGTTTGGGGCAAAGTATGATAAAGGGGTTCTTAATCATCCCACAATCAGCCCTGAGAGACGAAACCCCATCAAATTTCTGACATATCCGCACATTGCAAAAGATATTAATGACAAATCAGAGACAATGCTAAGATTCGCTCGTTTAATTGCAGACCCAAAGTTGGCGAAGGCTGTTAAGTCCGTCCTCCACGCTGTAAAACATCACCATGTGAGAGAATGGCCCCGTGTGCCATGTTAATTACCGTAACTGATCTTTTGAGTCAGGAGTCTGCATATCAGAATTTTTCCCCACCCAATGCATCTCAAGTTTCCTCATCCACCCAAGGACTCCTTGCTGCACTGCAGCAGGCATTACACGAACACCTACATGCATGCTGTGGAATTCAAAGGGCACGGGTGTTCCGAACCAATTTTTCTGAGTTAGCGATTCAACTGATTATTCGTTGTGCGACTCCTAACCTCCTGATATCCAGCGAATTGGTCCGGACGCTACCGTCGTTGGAACTCCTTCAAGAAGATGAGACTGTCACCCATTTATCAACCCTTACGCGCCTCTTGGCATCGCCAGTGTGTACATAACATAGTTGCAGCTATGAACTGTCTAATATCTCCCCCAGCTGCAGAGTGATTATGCGGTACCTCGCCATTCCTTGGACACCTATGATTCATTCAAGCATGACATCGGTGCATTTCCCAAGCCTTTTCCGGGGTTAGTACGTGGGGCGGTGCTGTCGGCTCTGGAACTGGTGGGACAGTGCAAGCGGCTGGATGATCTGCCGACAATTTGGCGCCTTCAAATGAATAGGAACATTCCCAATCTCCAAAGCGAATTCAGAAAGATAATGACGACGCAGCTAAAGTTTGCATGCTGCCATTGGAACACTCTTCTTTGTGAATTGGACTCGCAAGATAATGAAATAATGAATGCCCTTTCCTCTGCCGTCCAAGTGCTTCTTCACTGGATTGCAGCTATGGGAATCATGGGTGAAATTGATCAAGCATGCCGAGGCCTGAGAAAACTAGAACGATGGCTTGTAAGTTGAAAATTTGACTATTGGCTCACGGCTCACCTGTGTGTTTCAGAGGTTCGATGCCAAAGCCGTCAACAGTATATGCCATGTAGTCCGCAGCTTGCGCCATCTGGTTGAACGATCCCGGGATGCATTGGCAGCCTCGTCCTTATCTATACTTGGACGTAGCCATCCATTTGTTCCTTCAGGTAGCGCATTGGGTGCAACATTCCCCACGATGTGTGCTGTTGAATGCCATATTAGTTCTCATGAAATGGATAGCAGCCAACCATGGTCTCCACCAGCGGGGATAATCCACAGCCCAAGCGAACTCTGCTCCGTGGTATTTTCTCCAGATGGCTGTCATATAGTCTCAGCCTGTATGAATGGCATGGTGCACATCTGGGACGCAGCGACCAGAGCACTTCTTCGGGAATTGAAGGGACATACTCGTTCAGCCAGGTCTGTCACATATTCACCGGATGGCATTCATCTGGCATTGGCCTCGAACAATTCCACTGTGCATATCTGGGATGCGGTAACAGGAGTATGCCTTCGAGAACTGAAGGGACATACTGACACGGTGAATTTTGTGACATTTTCCCCTGATGGCCTTTGTCTGGCCTCGGCCTCATGTGATCGTACTGTGCGACTTTGGGATACAGCAACAGGGGAGCTCCTCCGAGAATTGGAGGATCATGATTTCCCTGTATGGTCTGTTTCCTTTTCACCTGATGGGCGTTATCTAGCCTCAGATGGTAAGAACGTGCGTATCTGGGATGCATCAACAGGAGCACTTCTTCAAACACTGGAAGAACATGCCTACAGCGTCTATCTTGTGAAGTTTTCGCCAGATGGATGTTGTCTGGCCTCTGCCTTGTCGAATACCATACATGTGTGGAATGTGGCAACAGGAATCCCCCTTCAAGAGCTGAAGGGTGGTGTCAAGCCCTTGGATTTCTCACCAGATGGCCATCATCTAGCCTCGGCCTCCATCGATCACACACTGCTCATCTGGGATGTGGCAACAGGAGTGCCTCTTCGAGAGCTAAAAGGGCATACTGGTCAGGTTCAGTCTGTGAATTTTTCACTAGATGGTTGTTGTCTGGCCTCGGCATCTGGGGATGGCACTCTACGTGTCTGGGATGTGACAATGGAAGCACCTCCTCGAGGGCCAAAGGCAACAAAAGGTCATGTTGACACCATCTCCTGTGTGAAATTTTCGCCTGATGGATGCCATCTTGTTTCTGGCTCCAAGGATGGCAGAGTGTGTGCCTGGGACATTGCCAACAGGAGTTGCATTGAGCAGAGACAGCTTGATGAGGACTTTCATCCCCACAAAATGCTATTTTCCACTGATGCCTTAACACTCCGCATCCAAGGTCAGCAAGAGACAAAAAATTTCAGCTTTCCAAAGTTAAGCCATGTATCCAACCCAATTTCAACATCCTTCTGTGAATTTTCACCATCCCATCTCTTTCTTGATCACAATGCTCTGTGCATTAAGCATGAAAACATTGCCCTGCATATTTGTTGGTTACCTGACTACTTCAAGCCTAGCTGTCCAATCACGGAACATGGTAACCATGTTGGCATTGGTGGAGAGGGAGGGATGATTGCATTCATCAATATAGATGGACTTGTACCCCCTGATCTGGACTTGACACAGCCAGTTGTTGTTGCACATGGTGTGTGCAACACTCAATGTTGAAATGTGACAAAGTAGCCTGCATTGTAAATTTGAACCCATCCTTGTTTATGTTGGAACTTTGGCTCCATGTAGTATATTATCACATGACATGTAGTTAATAACAACTCATCCATCTACTATCTGTCAGAGTCAGGGTCGGAGGTACTGTCAGAGGCAGGGGAGTTACTGTCAGAGTTGGGGGTACTGTTAGAATGGGGCGGATTCGGACGACTCCGGAGTGGAATTGGAGACTTAGCATGGAAGGACCTCGGCCTCAGCGACTCAGGCGGAGCGCTGTGCCATTGCTGGTTGTCCTGGGGGTCCCTAATTTCGGATCTAGCAGAGGGAAAGTCTCTTGGGGGAATTCAGGTCGATTTCGGACTGAGGTTACAAGTTACTAGGTACATTGTATATAAGGAGGGGTCTGGAATCAAAAGGAACAAGGGTAGGACAAAAGGAGACAAAGGAAGATGGAAAGAGGAACAACACCGAGGGTCAAGTGTTTGACTCAATGGTGTTTCCCAAAGGAGGAATGAAGGGCCAATGTCAGGGACGCGTTGCAAGAGAGCTAGCGGCTCTCAGCACCAACCAAGCTCGTGGGGGAAACTCTCCACTAAAACCCTTTTCTCCACTGGCCTCGATCCAAAAACTCCGGGAAATTCTCCGGAAATTCCGCAAGGTCCAGGCTCAGTGTCCACTACCCACTCTTTGTGGGTTAGACGACTGCCCTTACTCCTACTGTTGGAACTTCTAACACACTCACACTAACTCTGACGCGTCCTAGCGCCTTAGAGAAAATTAGGGAGGGGAGAACTTAATTTTCAATCCCAGTATGTACAGGATTATAAAGAATAAACATTTTTAGAAATGATTGATGGGAAATATTGGCGCCATATGGCTCCTGGACCCCATCGTAAGCGAAATATTTGAAAAGGGCATCAAAAGAATAAAAGAATATCATCCAATATATCAAAATGATGGTAAAAATGTGAAAATATGAGGAAAATCGGGAATTTATCAATGTTTTCACAAAATTAGTACCTGAAACTGGAAATGTGGCTGGGAATAACCTTTACGTGGCTAAAGAACATTTTTCCCAATTTATTTGATGCCTTGGGAATGTGTGAAGCATGCTTTTCTGACTTCCCGCTTGCCTAAATTGAACTTCCCACGCCCGCACATGACCAGATCCCGTGACCCGCGCCGTGGCCAACCTCCCCAACACTTAACTCCACCAAATCTCCACCGATTGGGACGATCTTGACATCGACGGATTCGTAGGAATTAGGAGTATTTTTAGGTACCAAGTTTGTATCGAATTATGGAACGAATGAAGATGATTTTTGAATGGTGTAAATGGATATCCGAGCCGGCTCTGCGTGTGGGCGATTATCCTGCCTACAGCGTCCGGGGTCGAGAGGGCCCGGGGTAATGTCCGGCACTGAGGCCGTCACGGGGTGTGGAGCGGGCGTGCGTACTGGTGGGCCCGATCTGGGACAGTGGTCCCTGGCCACTCAGACTGAAGTGGAGAATGTGTTATTATTATTAAAGGGGAAAACTATACTACTTACCTGAAGTGGAGAATGTGAGAAGAAGGTTACTTCTTCAGTTCCCACTTCAGGTACATTTATGTACATGCGGCTTGAGTCACATGACGGGTGCCACGTCATCCTCAGAGGCAGCCGCAGGCATCCGGGTGTCCCCGTGGGGGATCCCGAGAGCGTCCGCTGCATGCGCGCGTGCTGGGCACAGTGGGAAGCCGTCCGGGGTGTGTGGGCTGGATGGGTCAATAGTACATCGATACAAAGGAAGGTGGTCCGTGTAGATAGAAAGAAATAAACAGGAAGAGGAAGATGAGAAGAATGAAATAAAGAAAGGGGAAAGAAGAGGGAGGAAGGAGGGGGGAGGGGGATAGACAGCGGGGAGCGGGTGTGGTGTGGCCAGGTGGGTCCGGGTGGACCCGGGTCAGGCGGGTGTGCCCTGACAGCCAAGGCCCAAGAAGGAAGGAAGGAGGATGGGAGTCGGGAATGGCTAGCTGACTGAATAGAAGGAAGCAGCAGCCCAAATAGGAATGAGGGAGAATAGCGGAATTGAAATGGACAATGCAATAGTTGCAAGGTCCGGAGTAAGTCCGGAAAGTCCGAACTCGGAGGTTAAACTCCGGAATATTGGCAAACGTAATTAAATGGAATGAGCTAACCAATACAATGGGTATAAGCGGAGGTGGGGTCAAAGTCCGAGGTCGGAGCTAAGACCGGAGGTTCCGGAGACAGAGACGCAAACAGGATTCCAGAGTGGAGGTCCGGAGTCGGGAACATAGGTGTTGCATGCTCGTCTGGAAGGTGTCGAGGATGAGGTCGGACCTGGAATGTTCCGGAGTTGGACCGAAGGTGGTGTTGGAGCCGGAGGTGGGATAACCTCTTGGAAGTCGGCAAGGAGGAGGTGGCAGAAGGGAAGCAGGACTCTGGAAGTCAGGTTCAGAGTTCCAGGAGCCCAGAACGGAGGTCGGGATTGTATGGATATGACAGGTACTGGCAGAGATCTGTTGGAGTGTGCTGAAGGAGAGAACGAAGGAAGGACAGTTGGGAGGTTCAAACAAGACCACTGCCAATCTGTTCCCTGGTTCTTTAGTTTGGATGGGGAGGTGTACAAGCAAATTTGTTGTATTTTAAGTACTAATCCGAGTGTTTTGGCTAAATCTGTCTTATGGGTTAGTCTAAAAGTCTCTTAAAAATGACTTACAGGTGAATAAAACCCTGCGGAGCTGTTCCCTTAGTGTAATTCTGTGTAGGATTGTTGAAATTGAAGTTTTAAACCTGAGATCAATCTTCTACTTAGTGAATTTTCAAAGATTTTATCCTGTCAATGGTCTTAGACTGTGTCTGAAGTGTCCCTTGGCCTTCTCTTATTTTTCTCTTGTTTTTATTGCTTGTTTTAACAGTAGCAATATAACTGTTTTGTTTACACTTTTTGAAATCTGGAGTGTTAATGTCAGGGCAATAGCCCTGAACCCTGAGTCAATGTAACAAAGTTGTATGTAGAGTCACGTGGTTAAGCAGCAACTTCCATTACTGCTTACACACTGCTGTTTTATACACATCTTTGTATCACTTACAGTTCTGGTGTGCTGTCAGAACCGTGCGAAGCATCACTGATGATAGCCATTGGCGAGTGAATGTTGGCTGCTAATGATACAGGCATCCTACTCATGACTGAGCTTTAGTGAGGGTCAACCTCACCGATCTCGAGGCCAAGAGGAGCATTGTGCCTCGTTCTCGACACAGTCCCGATACTTCAGAAGGCAGAGGTCTTATGGGGAACAGAGGTAAGCTTAGGGGGGAATTCCAGTTGATTTCGAACTACTGCACAAGCAATAGTTACAAGCTGTATATAAGCACTAGGGAACTGAATAGAAAGTAAGTCGCCAGATCTCACGGAGATTGCAGGTGGAAGAAAGAAGAAACAAAGGGGTACGTGGTTTAGACAGCAAAGGTCAATGTGACCTTCGCTGTGAGATAACCAGGTGTGGCAAAACATGGAACAAGAGGTCATGGCACTCTGCACTGCTAGGTCATTCAACGACAATTAGGAGAGGGGTCATTGAGATGTGGCAGGAAGTGGTTAGATGGCAACAGGTGGCGAGCGGAGTGTGTGGGGAGTGCTCAGGTGTCAGGGCACGCCGCCGCCACCACCGCCGCCACCTCCTTTCCTTCCGTCTCATCCTCTCATTCTCTCTTCTTTCCCTCTTCTCTTTTTTCTATCTTTATACAGATGACCTCTCTCTTTCTTTCCTACACTTGTAGCACAGACACGCCCGACGCTGAGCACCCCGTAGGGGCACCGCCACACCGGACGCACCACGCACTCCTACTTGTACTTCCCCTCCAACACTTGGGATCAACTGCGGAGCCACCCGCGGTAACCTGGCTTCGTCCGAAGGTGACGTGGCACTTCCATGTGACCTGTTCACACATGTATATAAACTAAGCCGAAGCAGGACCGAAGAAGCAACCTTCTTCTCATTTCCTGCTTCAGGCAAGTACCCTAGCTTAGTCTAGCTTCCCACCCTAATAACAATACATTTCCCACTTCAGCCTAAGAAGCCACACAGGGACATAAGCCCGAGTGAGGGCTGCCCACTATACGGTCTTACCGCCCCGCCGCTGTCCGGGCTGCTAGCGCCGAGCGCTACACCACTACCTCTGCCTCCCTCAAGCCGTCCCTGACATCAGGCATAGGAGAAGGTCAGGGAGGAGGTCGTCTGACTCCGGGGAACGCCAGGTCGTGACATGTGCTGAGTGACCCCTGAGACCTCACACTTTTTTAAGTGTATGAGGTGTGTTTAAGAATAGACACAACCATGCAATTTTACATCAAACTTTACACATGTTGACTCAGTAGCACCCATGGCACCAAAACATGCAAGGGCAAGGTTGCATCTGCAGTGACAAAAAAGAATGAAAGTTCTAGTCCCTCTGGACTAGGATTGGGCCAACCTTCAGGGTATTTTCTGTTGATTACCCTGAGGTGTGTTTCTGTTTCACCTCCCAGTCAGGGAAGCTTCTTCCTTGGTTGTTCTTGAGCCCTTGCTTGAGTTTTCCATCCATGTGATCTTGTTGCATGGTCTTGTTCTATTCTGAGGGTATTGATGTTGCCCTTGGTTGCTGTTCTGTCAGGGCACACACCCTGACTAGCCTGGACCCGGACCCGTGTCCGGACCCGCTTCCACCCACCATGCCTGCACGCATGCATGCTCCGCACGCCGCATGCTCCAGGCCCGGTTCCTACCCCTTCATGTGACTTCCGGGTATCCCGGAAGTTTTCCTGATATGGTGGCCACTGTGGGAAGATGAGAAGTTAGCTTCCTTCTCATCTTCTTACCCACAGTAGTTGTGCCCTGGATAGGGCTGGTTACATGTCAGGGACAGCTCCAAAAGCGGTGAAGTCCCGGTGCAAGGGACCCAATGGGACAGATGTCGGCTGTGCATAGTGGCGATCCCATCACGGGGGAGTGTCCCCAACCACTTAGTCTGAAGTGGGAAGTTGAGAAGAAGGCTGCTTCTTCTGTTCCCACCCCAGGTGCTATTATATACATGCGGTCAGGGTCATGTGGGGGGAGCCACATCATCTCTGCACACAGCTGGACCTCTCTGGGTGTCTCCATGGGAGATCCTGAAGGTGTGCCACTCTGTAGGCAGGGATGTGCATGGCGGGTGTGGTGATCAGGGGAGTGGTATTAGGTGTGTGATGATACATAGAGAAAAGGGAAGTCGACCGTGGAATAGAAATAGAGAGAAAGAAGAAAAAGGGAGAGGAGGAACGCGGAGTGGTAGCGGGGGGGGAGTGGAGTAGGGCAGCGCAGCGCTGGGTGCAGTGAAAGAGGGCTTGCAGCTCTCTATGCCGACTAAGCTTGTGGGGCCAAACTCTCCAAAATCCTACTTTCTTGACTGAACTTCGCTATGCTCTTGATCCTTAAACTCCATGTGGGTTCTCCAGGATTCCGCAAGTTCCGGGCTCAACTAATCTACTACCCACTTGTTGTGGGCTAGACAGTTGCCCTTATTCCTACTGTTGGATTCCACTCACTCACACCCACTCTAGCGCATCTTAGCACCTTAGAGAAAATTGGGGGAGGGGAGAACTTCTTTTTCAAAAATCCAGTATGTACAGGATTATAAGAAATAATTATTTTTAGAAATAATTGATGAGGAATATTGGTACCATATGGCACCTGGGTACCTTATTAGGCGAAATAATAAAAAGGGTAACAGTATCAATAAAAGAATATCAATCAATAACTGAAATGATGCAAAAATATGAAAATATAAGAAAATAAGCAATATCTCAACGGATTTACGGAGTTAAGAGCCAAAATTGGAAATGAAGCTGGAGATAACTCTCACGCAGCCAATAGGCATTTTTACCAATTTATTAGACGCTGTGGGAACGAGTGAGGCTGGAATTCTGGGTTGTGGCTTGAGATTCCCATGCCTGCACATGCCCATGACTAGCTTGCCTAACTTGCCCAACATAGAACTCTGTCAAATCTCCACCGATTGGGACGTTCTTGGTATCATCAGAATTGTACGAATTAGCACTATTTTTATATGTCAAATCCGTATCGAGTTGTCGCATGAATGGAAGGGGTTTTCTGAATGGTGGAAGCGGGTATCCGAGCTGGCTCTGTGCATGGGCGATTATCCTGCCTACAGCAGCACTGGGTCAGGCAGGGTGTGCCCTGACATTACACCAGTAGGCTGTGGACCATAGGGGAGGGTCATGGGGACCCGGGAGTTGTCCCCTGACATGTTCTCACTTTGTGAGCTTGGAAGTCTAGGTTTACTGTTAGACACTGATCCGGAGTCGGCACCGAAGGTCGCCGATGCAGGCCGCTATTGGCCGCGATGGCCGTGATGCCGTAGACAAGGCCCGAGGGTAGGGCATTTGGCCTCAGCAACTCTAAAGGGAGTGCTGTGCCCCCTAGCTGTCTCTTGGCCCTCATTTCGGACTTACTGGGGTTGCCTTGTTGGGGTCAGGACTTAGGGGTCGTGGTCACATCGATATTAGAGCTGAGGTACAATAAAGTATCATACAGGATATATATAGGAAGAAGAAATGAATGGAAGCGGACCCGGGCCGGAGGCCGAAGGGTCCGGAAGCAAACAAGAAGAAGGAGCGGGGTTGGCCGCATAGCGGCCGGCAATGACCGAGGGTCAAAACAAACAATAATAGATAAATAAAGGAAAGAGCGTAGGGCCACGATAGCGGCGATGGTATCGTAGCGGCGCTGGACTCGGAGTTGGGCCGGAGTCGGGCGCGGGGATGATAGCGGCCCTGTAGGGGCCAAGTGGGCGGGGTAGGGGAGTCGCGCTGGGCACGGTGCCGGAGGCGGACTCAGGGTGGGGAGGTTGGTGCAGCAGCGGGGGAGTCGGCCAAGTGTAGGGGAGCCTAGGGGCAAGCGGGGAAGTGAGCAGGGAGTCCTCAGGGAGGATAGGGCTGAGGTTGGGGCTTGCGCTCACGCTCGCATAGCGGGAACGGGCTCGGGCGGCATCGGGACGGGCGGCTAACGGGCCGGAATGCACGGCCGTGACATTTACCTGGTTTTTATTCAACCAGGGGGCACCAAATATGGCATTGTATCTGTCAATGTTAATTACATCAAAGTAACTGTTTTTGCATGTGGTCATTGATTTCAACTTCCATGTTTGTTCCAAACAAGATCTGTGATTGTAAGGAATGCCCCGCTATAAATAACATACAACACATGTAATTACATATATAAATGATGCGGGGTATGATGAATGGAGTTATACTCCTTTCCTCTACCTCATTGAAATATAGCTCTATTCAAGCTTATATCTTTGACAGACTTGAGGAGTGAGGAGATACAAGGTTGGCACCTACACCGACCTTACAGTGATCTTGTCCCTTTCATCCCCATTTGGAGGACAACTGGATTCTCCAGCTGGAGAATTGGGATATGAACTGCATGGACAAAGTCTGGCAATATTGTGTCTGTTTTGGTCCTGCTATTGAATAGCACATAGGCTTTTTTGCCTGCTATTTTGACATGGGCCATTGTGGGAGGGATGAGCCAGTAGTACCCAAACACCACCATATAACAGTCTACAGATGCTACCTGGGACCCGACACACAATCCCCCAGCTCCCCAAAGCCCGTTGCACTTCCACCATCATCTCTGTATTTTTTAATATTTTTCCGGACCAGGTTATGGCCACTTAGTTTCCATATCGGGCCGCTTCTATAGTATTTTCACCATATCTCCCCCAGTTCTTCTCCGATCCAGACGCATTTTATATCGTTAGAAAGCTACCGTCAAGACGAGTCGAACAAGTCCAGCATCGGGAGATTTGGTGCAGCCGTTGTGGAGATCGTCGAATTCTATCGATTGTGTGGCCGCACTCATATATTTTATTGTGTTTTCTGTTGTTTTCTTTGTTCTATGTTGTTCTGTCCGTTTCTGTCCATCCCTAACACCGTCGGATTGCTCGGACATTAGCTTTGGTTATATACAAACATGTATCTAGTATGAAAAGGGATCTTCTCCTCCTTCCCACTTTAGTGCCAGTCAGACAGTACCACGTCTGGGAGTGTGTGAACGAGTTCAGTTAGGTTTAGGGTGACATTGAGAAGGCAGGACGCCTTGCTTGGCCCTAGGGAAGGTCCACCAGGAAGTCTAGTTGGTTTTTCACGGAAGTTCAAGTTTTCAGACCTAGTAGGAAGGTCCGCCAGTGAGTCTGTCAATGCTGTGACTTCACTCCTCCCCCCTTCGTTACCTGTGTGTGTGTGTGTGAGGGTGGTCTGGTTAGGTTCAGAGGGTCTGTGCCCTGCAGCCTTTCAGCCATTCTCCCTGCTTGCACCATCAGCATTCTCTTTGTCAAGGGCAGTCTGTTTGCTGGGTATTTTCCTGCAGCTTTTGAGATGCATTGAACAAGGGGGTCTGGGTTATGTTGGACTTTTGGTCCTTCTTCCCTTTATTCTTGTTTTCCTTGGGTACTTTTGTGTATGTATTTTCCCAAGGCATCTTTCTCCGGTGCTTCCACCAAAGCTTCAGCAACTTTTTCATCTACTGTGTTTTCTAACTGGCATGCTACAGTGTCAGGGCATGCCCCAACATGCCCCACCTGACCCCCACTCCACTTCCCCACTCCGGACCGTGCCTTCTTCCTTTCCTCTTTCTTTCTTCTTCTTTCTCTCTCTTACATGGACCACCTTTCCCGCTGTTCAATGTATCACCAGCACACATGCCCATTCCCCCTCTTGTATCTTACCATCCCTATATCGCCGTCACCACTGCCATGCTCACCTCATGCCTACAACGGACCCTCTCGGGATCTCCTGCAGAGACAACCAGAGAGCCATGGCTGTGTGCAAGGGTGTCAGGGCACACACCCTGACTAGCCCGGACCCAGACCCGTGTCCGGACCCGCTTCCGCCTGCCGTGCTTCCCGCACACGTGCACGCTCTGCGTGCCGCATGCTCCGGACCCGGTTCCTACCCCTTCATGTGACTTCCGGGTATCCCCAGAAGTTTTGCTGATATTGTGGCCACTGTGGGAAGATGAGAAGTTAGCTTCCTTCTCATCTCCTTACCCACAGTAGGCAAGTGTACCTTACCTACTGCTTTATCTATTCATCTCCTTACCCACAGTAGGATTGTGCCCTGGATAGGGCTGGCCAGACCAGAGGCTGTGGACCATAGGGGAGGGTCATGGGGACCCGGGAGTCGTCCCCTGACAAAGGGTGACATGGCGCACCCCATGTGATCGACCCCACATGTATATAATAACGGCTGGAGTGGGAACTGAAGAAGTAGCCTTCTTCTCACATTCCCACTTCAGACTAAGTGGTCAGGGATGCTCACCCCATGATGGGACCGCTGCTATGCATAGCTGCTACTCGTCCCACCAAGTCCTGCATGCTGGGACCTCGCTGCTTTTGAAGCTGTCCCTGACAGCAGAAGAAGGCTTCAACCTCATCTCCCCCACCTCCCCTGCCATGGTGACCAAAGAGCAGTATGATGAGCTGCTGTCCCGATTCCAGGAGCTCCAGGCCATCGTAGAGAGCCAAGCTCAAAACCAGCCCCCAGCTGCACCTGCACCGGTGCCGATGCCCACACCAACACCCACCCACCCCCAGACCTAAACTGCCTAAAGTCGCCCCCCCCACTGCCTTCTCTGGAGCAGCCGAAGACCTTGACCGCTTCAAGGCCAAATGCGGCATATACTTCCATGTCCAAGCAGCGGAATTCCCCAACGCCCTCTCCCAGATCCTCTTTGTCCTGTCCTACATGAAAGGAGGGACTGCGGGGGCATGGGCGATGCAGCACACCATCACGCTACTGACGATGGGCTCCCCCTGGCTCACCATGGACGAGTTCAACATGGAACTTGATGCCATGTTCCAGGACCCGAACTGTGAGGCCACAGCCAGACAGAAGCTGGCCACTCTGCGGCAGGGCAGCAACTCCGTGGATAAGATCATCCAGGAGTTTGAGATCCTCAGACCTGCCTCACGGCTAGGGGAGGTGGGGCTTGTAGATCGCTTTGAACAGGCGATCAACTCCTGGCTCTGTGAGAGCATTTACCACCTCTGCCCCATGCCAACGACCTGGGCTGAGTGGAAATGTGAGGCCACCCTCCTCAACAACCAGTGGCAGCATTTCCAGGCGATGCAACCCTGCTTGGCCCCCACCAGGCCCCCACTCCTGCCTGTGAGACCCCTGCTCCCTACCACTCTCCTGCAGCCATGCCCCCTACCCACCACACCCCAGCCCCCCACGCCCCGCCCTGTGGCAGGAGCAGGGCCACAGCCCATGGACCTCAACCGCTCGAGGATCGACCAGAGGCAAAACAGGCTGTGTTACAATTGCAATGCACCAGGGCACATCGCACGGGATTGCCTGCAACCGAAAACCCGTCAAGCCAGATGGATGCACCCTGAAGACCTCAGGGCACTCATGGAGGGGCTGAGGAGACAGCTGGTAGACAAACCAGAGACAGGGGGAGAAGGGCAGGAAGCAGAGGCCCAGGAGGATTTTCAGGAAGGTGTCATATCCATCCCTGGCCATCGACTTCCACTCCCTCTGATCCCTCCGGTCTACCTCCGCTCCTTCTTCACTAACCTCGGAGCCCCCGTATTCCGCAATCACCTCGGTACCTCTCGATGGTCACCACCCCCTCTTTTCAATTTATTACCTATGCCTCCCTAAGTATGGAGCCCCAAAGGCTTCCGGACAGCTCTGATGTCTGCTAGCGCACTCCCACCTCCGCTGGGCAATACACTCACTTGCCCTGCAAGCCCACCTTCGGGCCTATCCCTCCTTTCCATTTCTGGGTTATTGTCAGGGACAGCTCCGAAAGCGGCGAGGTCCCGGCGCGAGGGACTCGATGGGACAGGTGTCGGCTATGCGTAGCGACGGTCCCGTTGCAGGGTGAGCATCCCCGACCACTTAGTTCTGAAGTGGGAAGTTGAGAAGAAGGCTGCTTCTTCTGTTCCCACCCCAGGTGCTATTATATACATGTGGTCAGGGTCACGTGGGAGGGGCCACATCATCCCCGCACACAGCCACACTCCCCTGGATATCTCCGTGGGAGATCCCGGAGGTGTGCCGCTCTGTGAGCGGGAATGCGCACGGCGGGCACGGTGATCGGGGGAGCGGGGTTAGGTGTGTTAGTAATACATAGAGAAGGGGAAGTCGACCATAGAAGGAAATAGAAAGAAAGAAGGAAAAGGGGAAAGAAGAGACAAAGGGTGATAGCGGGGAAGCGGAGTAGGGCGGCGCGGCGTGGGGTCAGGCAGGGTGTGCCCTGACAGTTATCACCTACCATTCCGTTAACCCCATAACCCAACTCGTCGGTAATATTCAATTGGCTAATGTCTAACCCCATTAGCTCCACTCCACTCGGCTCCGCCATTTGTGGGCCCACTCTCGTTGTAACTATATATATATTCAACTTGTACATAGGTTACACCTCAGTAATAAAATCGACTAGAGTTTACCCCCTTCAGTTCTGGTTGCCAGTTTAGTAAGTTAGGGCACAGACGTGTTACTTGGCACAGCGCTCCTGGCATAAGTTGCTGAGGCCGAAGCCCTCCACCACAGAGACACTCCTTCGTCTCAACCTGGTCTCTGACAGAAGGTGACCAGTGAGGGATGCATCCCAGCCACCTGCAGGCAATAGTACTAGCTTGTGTAGATACCGTGAGGTGCCTAACCCAGCACCGATATCTAAATTCCACTGAGTCATCACCAAGAAGAAGAGGAAATCAACCAGCAAGGGCAGAGAAGCCCCAGAAACAGTGCCAGAGGTAGCAGTCCCACCACCCGCCATCTACGTGTTGTCCAAGCAGCCTCCCAGATCCCTCAACCTCGCCGTGAAGCTAACTGCCTTAACCTCCCTCACCACCATCTCCGTGTCAGCACTCCTAGATTCCAGAGCCACAGGGAACTTCATAAGCCCTGAGTTTGTCAGAAAACATGGGCTCAAGATGACCCCACTTTCCCAGCCCATCTCTGTATGCAATGTCGATGGAACCCTGAATGAGAACATAGCCATAACCAAGGAGCTAGAGGCCCTCTTGACATTTGGGTGACACACGGAGTGGGCCTGCTTCGCCATTGCAAACCTTGGGAGACAGTCCCTCATTATAGGACACTCATGGCTGCTGCACCACAACCCGGAAGTGGACTGGACACAGCAGAAAGTCACCATGTCCCACTGCCCAACTGTCAGGGCACACCCCGCCTGACCCCACACCGCGCCGCCCTACTCCGCTTCCCCGCTATCACCCTTTGTCTCTTCTTTCCCCTTTTCCTTCTTTCTTTCTATTTCCTTCTATGGTCAACTTCCCCTTCTCTATGTATTACTAACACACCTAACCCCGCTCCCCCGATCGCCGTGCCTGCCGCGCGCATTCCCACTCACAGAGCGGCACACCTCCGGGATCTCCCACGGAGATATCCAGGGGAGTGCGGCTGTGTGCGGGGATGACGTGGCCCCTCCCACATGACCCTGACCGCATGTATATAATAGCACCTGGGGTGGGA